CCGCGTTTGCTGCTTGATCGACATATTAAAGCAAGTGTGAATATCAGGGCCGCAAATTGACAATTTTTTCCAAATCAGTCACATTTCACTTTTTACCGTCAATTTTAATTTAATAAAAATAAATAAATAGATTGCCAAAATTAAATGAAATTTAATTTATTAAAAAATTGTTTGTCAAAAGATTGTCAAAAAATTGTCAAAAGATTGTCAAAAGTTGTTAATATACTTTAGTATATTTACAACTTTTGACAAACTTTTTATAATCAACAAATTAAAGAAATATTTTTCTAACGAAATTTTTTCTTTAAATAAAATATTTTCTTCTTATTCTTTCTTATTTCTTGATTAGATTCAATTTCCAATTTCGAAAAAAGATAATTTTCCATAATGTAATTTCGTAAAAAGTTGACAATTATTTTCTTCAATGTAAATAATAATTTTTTTCCAAGTTTTTGAATTAACCAAATATATCCTCGGCCCTGTAAAACACTCTTTTAATGTCTTTCGTCAGAGATTTCGTTGCCTTTTCATTGCGAGCGGCAGATTTACCAATGCAACGGTTTATGACGGTGTCTCAATCGCGATGCTCTTGCTAAATTAAATACTTTACTGTCTCGCTTCTTCTCTCGAATAAACAGATAGTATACAGATTCATAAAAGAAAGGCTTGGAAGCCACGTGTTTCAACTAAGTTGATTATCTTTGAAATGAGACTCAAATTAGGCCCATTATTTCAAATAACATCTTATAATACATAAGGTATTTCAATTTTCGTGAATATTAAATATTTATTCTCAGAAAAATTGTGAATTCTGCAAGGGATATTTTTTTGTAGGTATATTTTTTTTACTTTTAATTTTTTCGATTCAATTCTTTTTCCAATTTTTAATTTCTATTATTTCTAATTTAATTCTTTTCTTAATTTTTATTATTTCTCGATTAATTCTTTTCTAAATTTTTCATTTTCAATATTTTTAATTTAATTCTTTTTTAAATTCATTTTTTAAATGTAATTCCTTCAAAAAATTTTGTAATTTAATTTTCTTTTAATGTAATTCTTTTCGAAATTTTATTTTTTAAATTATGTTCCAAAAGTTTTGAACGTTCGAGTGAACGAAATATTTCCTATTAAAAATAGGAAATACTTTACTTTTATTATTAAAAATAAGAATTAAATAATATTTTTATTAGTAAAAAGATGTTAAAAACTTTTTAATTCTTCAATTAAAATTAAAATTATTACTCAAAATATTTTTATAAATTACTGATTGCACTAAATGTTACAAACTTAAATCCCCCATTTACAAACTTTGGAAATTAATTTTCTTTGCCAGTGACGCAAAATTATTGAAATAAAAATTCAATTTAGAGAAGAAATAAATAAATTCCATTTATTTAAACATTCGAAACTGCAGCATCATTTTTAATTTTATTTTTTAATATAATTTTAAAAAAATGTTAATTTAAAAAAATATTTAACGTAATTCTTTAAATAGAATTTTTTAAAAAAATTTAACTGTTTTTAATTTAATTCCTTTTGGATTTTTATATTTGAACACCTATTAAGAAACTGAGGGTATTGATAAACTGTGTGGTTATTATAACGAAACAATATTTTGACACACATTTTAATACAGTTTGGATGAAGAAAATTTAAAATATTTCCGAATCAAATGAATTTATTTTATTACATTTGTTATTTTAATTTTAATTGAAATGTATTTTTAATGAAGTTTCATTGATAAATATCTGGCAATGTAATAAAATACATTTATTGTTTCGTGAAGAAATGATGACCTCGTATTGATCAGTAAAACACGATATAATAAGTAGGTCTTTTTGTGTGTTGGCACAAAAACAGATCAAGGTTACGATTAGGACAATGGACAGTATAAAATGCGTTTTTCTACATTTTGTTAAAAAAATGAGACAATTCTCAAGGTTAAGGGGGGACATTGCATTGTCAATGGCTAATGTGATTATAATTCTTTTTTCGGAAAAATTTTTACTAAAAAAGAGTATTTACTCTCAAATGAATATTTATTTTCTCCCGAATTGTTTTCTTGTTACTTGTTAAAAAAAAGTTCATAATTTTAATTTTATAGGTATACTTTATAAAATATATTTTCTATTTATATTATTAATTTTCTATTTTCTATTTATATTTTTTATTTTATATTTCTATTTTTTATTTAATATTTATATTTCTATTTTTATATTTTTACTTACACACAGTAAATAAAAATATAAAATGAAATAAAACGAAAAAGAAGGTTTAAAGACTTACATTCTTAGTCTGATGTTGGTACAACTGTTGTCTACTAGTTGGGAAATCAATTTCTTCTTTACACTCTCACTGTAGCTGAAACAAAAGTAAATTATTAAAATCAGTTCAATAACTTTTTTTTTGTAATAAAATTATTTTTCTTAAAAAAATAATACTTAAAGAAAATAAAAAAAAATAAATAAAAACTGTGTTATTTGGAAAAAAAAACTTCAAAATAGTTGACAGAAAAATTCGGTCAATTTTAATGCAGTCGAAAAATTTTTCATCCGAATGAAATATATAATTTGTTCTAATCTCGTGCAATCATATGCAACTTTTATATACACAATTTTAACAAACTCTGATGCAAACTATTGCAATTCAGTGCAATCTCTTGCATCCGCTATTATTTTTTTTTTCTTAAGATTGCAATTGAATTTGCAAACGTTTGTAATTTTTTCTTAAAAATTCATCGAATTTTTTATAAATAAAATTAAATCAAATTAAATGTAAAATAAGAAAGAATTTGACTAACAATTAGTTCTCTAATTCTAAATTAGTGAAAATTGAGACAATTATTTACTTTTGTAAGAAGTTTTACTAATTTTTATATCATATTTCATATTTCACTAAAAATTTAGTAAAAGAAAGAAGAAGAAATTTTAACTACTAAGAGAAAAAAATTTCACTTATTTGAACTTTCGGAACTTTAGAAAAATATTAAAAGTACAAAAAAGTTGTTTTTTTCATTCAGATTTGTAACAAAAATTTAAATTTGTATTTCCCTGATCTTTCACTGATTTCTGAATTAAATTATTTGAAACTTCAGTAATTTTATTAAATAAATATTTAAATACTTGTCTCGTCTATAAATAAACACTTGTTAATTATTTTACCTCAGGAATTAAATTTTTTTTAATTTCACCTTCAAATTCTTCTCAAGTTCAATTATTTATAAAAATTATAAGGGTAACCCTTTCAAAATTTAATTTTTTTCTATGAATTTTTAATTAAACTTCTCTAAATCAATTAATTTTAATCATTTTCCGAAATTTTTTCGAGAATTAAATTATTTGAATGCAAAAAATTGATTTGTTGTATTAAAATAATTGAATTGAATTTTTTTTTAGAATTTTTAACTCAAAAACAATTTTAAATTTTAAACTTACGAAATTTAATTAATTTTTAGGAATTTTTATAACTAAACTTCTTCTTTTAATCAATTTTTTAAAATAATTTTCCGAAAGTTCATAAACAATTTAATTATTTAGTTAAGTATAAAAAATTTTAAATAAGTTAAAATTTACTTAGAGAAAAAGTTTAGTTCAAAATTCTGTAGAAAATAATTAAATTTTCCAAAAAAGTTGCAGTAAGTTTTCGAAAAATATTTGAATTTTTTGACAATTTTGCTAATTTAATCAATTTTCAAGAAGAATTTTAATGTTATTTTTCGTATATATTTAAATTTTCAAAAATTATGTTAAAAAAATTATTTTTTTTCAATGATTTTAATGTATTTTTTCAAAAAATAATTGCATTTCTTTAAAGAATTGTTGAATATTCGGAAATATGTTATTAACAATATTAAAAATAATTGAATTTTAAAAAATTATTTAATGAAAAAAAATTTTAAGAATTTCTTTATTTAAAAATATTTTAATATAATCTTTTGAAGCTAATTTTCATTACTTTACAATTTCAAATTTTCCTTTGAAAATTTTCCATTACATTTTTTTTGAAGAATTCAATAATTTTCGATATTATGTTTCTAAAGTTTCAAACGTTCAAATGAATAACGATATTTTTTTATTTCTTATTTTAATTTTTATATTTTATAGAAAAAATTTTTTTTCTCTATTTTGAAAAAATAAATTATTAACTAAAAAATGTTTAATTTTAATTATTTTTACTTTTTGTACAGTAAATGTTAAAAATATTTAAACAGAAAAAAAAACTTTGTTCATTTGACCGTTCAAAACTTTAGGAAGAATCGAAATTAGCAATTAAAATTCTACATTTGATTTTCAAAAATTTTTAATCAAGTAGTTAAAAAGAATAAATTATTTTCAATTAAATTTTACAAAATTTCAATATATTTTTTACAAACTTTTTAATTGTATATTTCTAAAATTTAATTATTTAAAAAAAGGGCAAAATAATGATATAAGAATAAATAATAATTTTTCAATGATTTGACTAGTTATTTTTCACACTATATGAAATCGAACACCCAGAGAACAATTTTATACAAATAAAACATAATTATTTGAGAAATAAAATTTACAATTCTCAAATAAAATTGTATTTAAACCAAATAAAATTTATTTGAAACCAATAAAAAGTCTAGTTAGTTCTGTGCCAAATATATATTTTCTCTGAATGAAATAAGTTGCATTTTACACCAAAAAAATGGTATTTTATTGCAATATTTGTAAAAAAAAGTGGAAAAAGTCTAATTTTCTGAAAATAAGTCTAAAAAATCGGCGTTTTTTGAAAATAATCGAGAAAAGTCCTGAAAGTTCTAAAACATTCAAGACCTGAGGGGAAGAAAAAATTAATTACAGACAGCAATTTTTATTTTCATTCTAATATTAAATATCTAAATTTTTACCTATTTGAAAAATTACCAATGGACCAACTTTCATCTAATTATAAATAAAAAAAAAAAAAAAAAAAGAACACGACTTTCTATTAATAACATTTGAACTAAAAAGCAATTTCCTGTATGATTTTAGAACACGTCTTCGACTCGAGAGTTTGGAAGATGCAGTGATCGTGGAGGATTTAGACGACAAGTTGACGGATCGTCGCGGATGTCCGGCTTACGTGGCGCCGGAAGTTCTGTGTTCAGGACGAGCTTACTCCGGAAAGGCATCTGACATCTGGTCGTTGGGAGTTTTACTTTTTACAATGCTCGTTGGTCGTTACCCCTTTAATGGAGCTGAGCACGCATCATTATTCGCAAAGATATCGCGTGCCCAATTCCTAATACCAGAGGGTCTCAGCTCTAGAGCAAGATGTTTAATTCGCACCCTATTGAGAAGGGATCCAACCGAGAGGCCCGATTCTGAAGATGTCATTCGACATCCCTGGCTGACGAGGCCAATAAAATCATCAGGAAGATCATCACACGACCAGCTCGTTCCAGAGCCAACCAATAATTCTCAAGACTGATTTTTATCCAAGAGAGAATAATTCCACACGCCTCAAAACTGCGTTAAATTTATATTATTTCAATCAGACTTCTTTTTTCCAAGTATTTCCAATTCAACAAAAAATTACATCTTTATTTTTTATTTCTTCTCTTTGTACATTTGCATTTTTCCTGCTTTGTCACCGAAAGCTTTTTTAAATATAATATAATAGGTATACATATTAATAATAATTTTCAAAGCATTAAAATTTCAAATGTACTCGAGATCTCAATTTTGAAGAAAAAATATAAAACTTTTCAAAAAAAAGGTCTGATTTTAATGATGAAAACTAGCTTTTAAGTTCTTCCATTGACATCGAAACGAAGACAAGAAACGTGTCAATTCCATATTAAAATTTAGAAATTTTTTTGAAAAATTTCCTTTTCAATTCTTTCTTATATTTATTAAAAACTGCGTTATGATTAATTCTTTGCATTTACAAAATTTGATTAAAAATGTCTGGCATGGAAAAAATGTACAAAAAAAAACTATTGTAAATCAAATATGTACCATAATTGTAGACAAAAATTTACAATTTAGATTGTAAAGTGTACAGTAGAGAATTATAAAAAAAGGATTGTAAATATTTATTTAATATAAATAGTATACATAACGATTGTTGTACTAAGTACGATACGGATTGTAAATTATGTTCATTGTTCTTCGTGTAAAATTTGCTTCGTTTAAATTGTAAAGTTTCTTTCTTCAAATACTCTCTTTCTCTCTCTAAATTCAAATTAGTTAAAATTTGTATAATTTGTTGGCAAAATGTCAATCGTCTATTCAAATAGTGATAGTTCTGTTAATTCAGCTAAAGAATTTTTGCTTTCGGAAAAAAAATTTTCTACTTTTTTTTTTTACAAATATATAGTAATTTTTACTACTTTATTGGTAAAATTTACTAATTCAAAAACAAACAGTCATTTACTATAATTTTTAGTTACTCTAAATTTGAATTAGTAAATTTTTTTATTAATTTTAATTAGTAACTGAATTTTTGCTTTCGAATTAGTAAATTTTACTAATAAATTAATAGAAATTACTATTTATTTGTAAAATTCAATCAGAAACAAAAAGTCATTTACTACAATTTTTAGAGCTCCCTAAATTTGAATTAGTAAAAATATTTATTAATTTTAATTAGTAACTGAATTTCGGCTTTGTATTTTCATGAAAAAAATGTTATGTAAATGTAAAAATTTTTTACTTTAAATTTTACTAATCAATTAGTAGAAATTACTATTTATTTGTAAAATTTACTAATTCAAAAGCGAACAGTCATTTACTATAATTTTTAGTTACTCTCTAAATTTGAATTAGTAAAACTATTTATTAATTTTAATTAGTAACTAAATTTTTGCTTTCGAATTAGTAAATTTTACTAAGAAATTTAGTGAAAACTACTATTTACTTGTAAAATTTATTAATTCAAAAGCAAACAGTCATTTAATATAACTTTTACTAATTTAAATTAGTGACTCAATTTTTGCTTTTAAATTATTAACTTTTACTAATAAATTTGTAGAATTTTCAAATATATTGCAATTAATAGGAAAATTTACTAATTCAAAAACAAAAAGTCAATTTCTAATTTGAATTATTAGTAAACATTTTTACTAATTCAAATTTAAAGAGTAACTTTTATTTTCTCTTATATTAAAAAAAGTAAAATTTCTCGTAAGTGATTCAAATTAGTCACATTTCATTGTTTTACTAACTAAATTTTTTTTAAACAGTAATTTTTTCAAATAATTCTTCAAAATATTTTTTCAACTAGTTTCTTTAAAATATTTTTGACACAATTTTTTAAAAAATATTTTGTGAAACAATTTTTGTAAAGTATTTTTGTAAATAGTTTTTTTAAAATATTTCCTTCACGAAAAAAGACTTCACTTGGAACGGTTACTAATTTTACTATATAAAAGCAATAATTGTTGTTCTAATTAAAACTATCGCTATTCTACAGAAACTAGAAAAAAATTTCTAAAAGAAAAATTTGTAGGCAAATACTTTTTCCCGTGTTTAAAATTTTAAATTGATATTTTTTCCTAACAGTAAAAATCAATGAATAGCGAAAAATAGCAATAAAAAGCAATGAATAGCGATAAATAGCAATAAATAGCAAAGAAAAGCGATAAATTGCAATAAATAGCAAATTTTTTCTAATTGATGAAGCGATAAATCAGCCAAAATTTTACCAACAGCTACTATTTCTATCTAATTCGAACTTAGAGAGCCAAATATGACATTCACCTATAACATGCCTTTATAAAGAATCACTGAAAATTCTTAAAATTGCATTTTTTAGCCGTGGGCAAAAAAAACCACACACGTTCTTGTCTTCGTATCTTCGATTTTATAGTCAAGAAAAAGCGATTGTGCGTAAGACATCGATAGCTTAAAAAAAAATCCCTAAAAAAATTTGTCTTAGAAAATTTTCTAAGTCACTGTATATGGAAAAAATGTGTAAAAATATTTCTTTGAAAAAGTATTATTTATAATAATTATTGTATACGAGAATATTTATTTTATTTACTTTTGTTTTTACATTTACGCTTCTTGTCAATTAATTTTTCTGTAAAAAAAGAACAGTAAAAAATACAAATGTTTTCTAAATTAATTTAAAAGAATAAGAAATTACGTTTTCTAAAAGAAAAACAAAAGTCTTTTCGATATAAACTATAGAAAAATGTCGATGTAATCATACGCAATCGTTTGTTCAATTAGTCAACAAATCGTAAAGTCATGATACGATATTTCCTATTCCGCGTCAATATTTCTATTTAAGAGAAATAAATTTTTGAGCAGATATTGTTTTTGCGCGCATAATTTTAAATATGTTTAGTGATATGTGGTTTAAAATATATAATTAATTTTTTTTTCCTATTTTTTTTTTGAAAAAAAGTGCCACTCTGTTAATCGACAAACTGATATCGTCGAATTAATAAATATAAATAGACTATTTGTATACAGTCAACTACTGGCTTTAATCTCTCACCATATTTAGAAAAACCCGGTGTAATATTTTTCCATCATCGAGAAAATCACAATTGAATTGTCTGTAAATTCAATTTAAAAAAAAACATCAAGGCATAAGTATGTAAAATTGACATTTCAAGAAAAAACTTGAAAAAATTTAAATATGTATCTATCATCATTTTTTTCTTGCCAGTAGTGAGTGTTTCGAGTTTTAAGATTATTGTACATTTGTACATTTGTCACGAAGATGTAAATATATTCAGTTGTCTAAGTCGTACAGTTAGTGAAGCTAATTCAATCCCTGTATGCTAAGCAATAAAACAATGTTTGTGAATGAATTTTAATTCAATTTTTTCTTTCGTACTCCTTTCACTAATTAAACTTGTAGTTTCTATCCTTTTTGTCATTTAACTGATCTGAGAATAAATACAGATAATTTTACCTCAATCCAATGAATACCAGATGTAAATTTAATTAGAAAATAAAATTCAAATAATCAATTACTTGTCTAACATCAAATAAATATTTACTTGAATCAAATAATTTTTGTTTAAACCAAAATAAATATTATAATAAATAAATAAAATAATATAATTTTACTGAATCAATAAATTCAGCATCTAAAGCAAATATTAAATGGAATTTTTAATTGACAAAAATAATTATCATTTTATACAAAGAAATATTTATTATTTAATAGAAAACTAATCGTTTACTTGAATCAAATTTTTTTTTTCATTGTGTACTGAATTTCAATAATGAATTTTTTAAAAATGAGCAGAAATTTTTGGGAAATTCAACATCTATTGATTTTTAACTTAAATTCAAAAGCAAAAATCTCTTCAACAGATTTCATTTAAAAAAAGGTTTGACTTGTAACGCAAAAGAGAAAAAATTTGCAAATAAAAAAATCTTTAAAGTAGAATTTCAAGTTAACTGAATTTTCATTTGAAGAATTTAATAATTATAAATATATTTAAAAAATAATTTTAATAAATACAAAATAGGAGGAAAAAATTATCAAATCGTAAATAAATAAATAAATAAAATGACTTCTTCATGTTTTATAATAATTAATGACAAAATCATGTTATATTATAAGAAAATTATTACTGAAATTTTTAAAATTATTTTTATCATTTCAATTCAATTATTATTTTCTAGAATTTTTGATTAAAATTCTTCTTTAAATCAATTATTTTTAATAATTTTTGAAAAATAATAAATTTTTGAAAAAGTTCTTTGAGAATTTTGAAATCTTCAATTAAATATATATTAGAAAAAATACTTTAAATAATTTTTAAAAAAATTCAGTTAAACTTTTACAAAAAAAATTAATTCTACAGAATTTTGTATTTAAAAGTATGAAAAATTCAGCTTTTCAAAGATTTTAATTTTAAACATTTTCAAAATTCAATTATCTCTAAAAATCCACAATATAATACTTTTGATATTCAATTATTTTCTAAAATTAACTAAAATTCATTTTTAAATCAATTTTTATTTAAAAAAAATTCCACGAAAATTCAATTATATTTAAATACAAAAGTAAATAATTTATTGAATAATACAATGTTTCTCAAAATTAAATTCTCATAAAGAATTTTGTCAATAAATTTTTAAATAATTGAATTCTTTCAACGAATTTTAATCAGATTTTTAAGAATAATTACATTTTTCGAGGAATTCGATTAAAATTCTATTAAAAATAATTGAAATTCTGCGATGAGTAAAATGAAAATAATTGAATTCCTAAAAAGAATTTTATTATTTACGAAAATAATTGAATTATTGCGAAGAAATTTATAAAAAAAATTTGTAAATAATTGAATTCCTGTGTAATTTTTATTATTTATGAAAATAATTAAATGTTTGCGTACAATTTTATTTAAATTTCTTTTCAATAATTGAATTCTATTGGAAAACTTTATTAAAATAGTAGATATTGAAAATCATAGAATATATATTGAGGAAATGTTTTAAAAATAATTAGAATTTTGCAAAGAATGTTATTAAAATTTTTTGAAAATAATTGAATTTCGGAGAAGAATTTTATTATTTATAAATATAATTGAATTTTTGACGAGAATTTAAAAAAATTTTTGAATTGCATTGAAAATCAATTTTCAAAATTTGTTGAATGAATAATAATAATTATTATGAATAATTATCTATAATAATTGAAAAGTGATTTCAATAAAAATTATTGAATTAATAGTAGAATATTATAGTGTACTTTTGGCCCTTGGTACTACAATTATTGTAGTAATTATTGTAGTAACAATTATTATAATTCCGAGTGTCAAAATGCATTACAATATTTTAATATTAATTTCTGATTTTTATAAATTAATAATTGTCCTCAAAAATAAAAAATTGAGTAAAAAGCTCTAAAATCGTATTTAGAAATTACAAAATCGTGTTGCATCTAATTTGAGAAATTTTTTTGAAGCTGATTTTTTTTTCTCTGGTATAATTTCCAAAAAGAAATATTTAAGACGCATAACGGGTTGCATACAGTGCCGAATATAATGCTATTGCTCATCATTCGAATGTAAAAAGAAAACACATTTTACAGGCATGAATTCGTTTCTCATTCACAGAATTAACATCTAAAATAAAAAAATAATTGGAGCAAAAGAATACATCTGCGATTAAATTGCAAAACTATAATTTATTTGTCTATTAAAATTATTTAAACATAAACAAGAAAAAAATATATATAAATTATTATTTACAGTTAATAAAACAATACATTTTAAAAAAATATATATATAAATAAATATATATCATTTCTCTCAATCTTTAAAAAAAATTATGCCGGTGTAGCAGGAGTCAAATTCGGTTGATTGGTATTGATTGCAGTTTTAGATTGTGAATTATTACTGTCGGCTTGTGGAGTTGATTCAACAGCATCAGCAGATCTTTCCGGTACTCTGACGAGTCTTGATCCTTGAGGCAATAAACCACCCCACGAGGAAGACAGTTGCTGCTGCTAATGATTAAAATAACATCCTTTTACTTTCTTTCAAATATTTTGAAATTACTTTCGAAAGTTACTTCAGTTGTTACAAAATGCGTTTATGATATTTTAACAAAAGGAAAAAGTGAATTTTTAATAATAATAAAATAAAGAAAGATTTGACCGCAGTTGAAATTAAAATTTTACTCTCTAAATTTGAATTAGTAGAAGTGTTTAATAATTTGAATTAGTGACTGAATTTTCGCTTTTGAATTAGTAAATTTTACTAATAAATTCCTTCTAAATTTATTAGTAAAATTTACTAATTCAAAAACAAAAATTTATTCTAAATTTTTTAGTAAAATTTACTAATTCAAAAGCAAAAATTCAATCACTTATTCAAATTAGTAGGCACTTCTACTAATTAAATTTTACTCTCTAAATCTGAATGAGTAGAAAGTTACTAATGAAATGACGAAAAATCTTTCACCAAATGATTTAGTAATAATTTTACTAACAAATGGTGGAATTTTACCAATTATTAGTAGATTTTACTAATTGCTTAGTAGAATTCTACTAACAATTAGTACAACTGTTTTATTAATAGTCGATAAAAAACAGTTTCACTAATTCATTTAGTGACATAAGTGACTTTTAATTAGTGGAATTCCACTAAAACATTAGTAATATTTTACTATTAGTATTATTAGTAAATTTTACTAATACTATTAGTATTAATAATACTATTAATAATAATACTAATACTATTTAAGAAAAAATTCAGTCACTAATTCAAATTAGTAAACATCAAATTAGTAAACTAATTAAACTTTAGAGTGACTGCATTTTTACTTTTGAATTAGTAAATTTTACTAATACTATTAGTATTAATAATACTATTAATAATAATACTAATACTATTTAAGAAAAAATTCAGTCACTAATTCAAATTAGTAAACACTTCAACTAATTCAAATTTAGAGATTAAATTAATATGAAGCTGAAACTGGTTCCAAATTATTATCATTCACTTAATTTTGGAAATTAAATTTTAAATTTAATTATCTTTTAAGAAGCTGCAACTAGCAAATAGTTATCAGCACCCACTAAATAAAAATTTGATGTTGGTTTTAAAAAAAGTTTACCTAAATTTTAATTTCTAAAATCAAGCGCGTGCTGATAGAATACCAGTTACAGCTACATTAAATTAAATTGAAATCAAAATGTTAAAATAAGGCTGAAACTCTGCTGTCCAAAGTAAAAAAATATTTAACTTCAAAATTCAATTTCCAAAATTGGGTGTCAGTTTGTTTCGTAATGTTATAATTTAAATTACTACAACTTCAGTATTTAAACACCCTGTCAGTCAATAAATTATCATAACTTACAACTGGCGATGTAGTGCAGGAACATTGACCGAACAAATTGGAAAGTTTATTCTGCAATAATCCCGGTTTTCCTTGCAAATAAGTATGAATGCATCCAGCTGACGATGCCTTTTGAGTATTGAACAAATTAATTGGCTTTGTCATGTACGTCTGTTGCGATGGTTGGGGTGCAATTGATTGCGTTGAGAAACTCAGAGGCTGAGTTTGAAATTGATAGGGTCGAATTTGAAACGATGCACTTGGTGATGAGGCAAATTGAAGTTGAGCCGAACTGCTGGTAGATGGTGTTGTATCGATGCAAAGAGCAGAGGATTGTGGAGCTGGTGCAGATGGTTGGGAGAGTTGATAATAAATTGGGGAAGGTGGGATGATTGGAGGTGATGTAATTTCAAGGATTTGTTGTTGAGAAGGCTGTGGTGGTGATTGAGGTAAATAAAGTACTTGTGGTTGGGGTGGTGGAAGAGAAGATGGTGAAACGATGCATTGAGAGTAGGATTGTTGTGGTGGTTGTTGTTGGGGTATTTGAATAATTTGTGGTGGAGGAGGTGGTGGTGGTTGTTGTTGTTGAGGTACTTGAATAATCTGTGGAGAAGGTGGTGGTGGTTGTTGTTGTTGGGGAACATGAATTATTTGTGTCTGAGGTGGAGGCGGTGGTTGTTGGGGTACTTGAATAATTTGTGTCTGAGGTGGAGGCGGTGGTTGTTGGGGTACTTGAATAATTTGTGGAGGAGTTCTAGGAGGAGGTTGGGATACCTGAATTATTTGTGTCTGAGGAGTAGGCGGTGGTTGTTGGGGAACATGAATTATTTGTGTCTGAGGTGGAGGCGGTGGTTGTTGGGGTACTTGAATAATTTGTGGAGGAGATGGTTGTTGGGGTACTTGAATAATCTGTTGTCTAGGAGGAGGCTGTTGTGGTATCTGAATAATTTGAGGAGCTGGCTGCGGTTGGGGTACTTGAATTATTTGTGCAGAAGGTGGTGGTTGCGGTAACGGTTGAGCTACTTGAATAAGCTGTTGTTGCTGTGGACGATCTTCCTGACAGACGACCATTTCAGGTGAACCGCAATCGACTTCCAGACATATTTTATTTGGTTGCGATCCAGAAATATGGCACGATTTCTTATCACGATTTAAACTTTCATTCTCGGAATTTTCCACTGGATTCAAATCGTTTCTCTTGACTATTTTTGATTTATTCGTATCATCTTTTATCAAGCCGGTCTTCAATACTTTTGGAATTAGAGGTTTGATGTTTTCAAACTTGAGAGAACTTTCTTTGAGGCTCACTGCTTTTGATGAAGTGTCGGCTTTTATGCTTTCAATTGCCGTCCTCTTTTCAACTTTCTTTGTCACTGGAGATGATTGGATTAATGTTAATTCCAATACGAGGAATGTTAACACAATTAACTTCATGGTTTCTCCGAATCGAGATCTGAGCTCGAGAAAGAAGTTCATGAAACTGATATTTCAAACTGAAACTGTTTGGTTTAAAAGGATTTCCGATCTTGCTGACAAAGAAGAGTATTACGCATTTGTGATTTGTGTTGTAATTTCTTTAATGCCAAAAATGCATATGCACGCAGGTGGTGCTTTGATTTCATCATTATTTGTTTGATTGAATGAAAGTAATCAATTTGTTGATTATTTTTTCTGTTTATGAAATATTTTTAAACATTTTTTTAAAGATCATATTAAACAATTTTGTAAAATGATCAATAAATATCAGAAAAAATCATTGTTTTCCTAAATAAAAAATTGTTACCTAATATAGAGCAATAGCATTATTCAGCACTATATGCAAAAAAAGACGGTTTATTTATTTTTTAAATCACGAAATAATAATTGATGACTAACGCGTTTGAGAATTGATGTACCATTTAGGAAAGTGTACAATCAAGTTACCAAATAGAACATTAAAATAATAGTAAATTCATAAATTAAAACTGAAAACCAAAGTAATAATGCGAATCGACTTATTATTTTTCTATTTTCGTTTTAAAAAAACGTTGCGGAATTTCATATAAAATGAAAAATAATAAATGAAGTAATGTGTAATTTTCTAAATAAAGGTGCGATATATAATTTAGAAGTAGGTGAGGTGATAAGTCACCGGAGTTTTATTAGAATAAAAATAGGTGTGGGCAAATGTCATTTTTAAAAGTATTAAAAAACAAAGGGCATATACTTAAAAATCCATTAGTAGAAAATTTCCTTTTCTGTAGTCTTCGTTTGGTTTGAAATTTTTTTGCAAATTTAAAATTATTCTCTATACAATTATAATAATACTTTTCATTTACCACGTTAATTTTAAATTAAATTCTAGATAATATTTGATACACCATAAGAAAATGTATAAAATATTTATAACAACATGGAACATAATTGCATCATCTAGTTGCTTCACACTCTGAATTGCATAACAATTGCCACTGTTTAAATACGTTGACTACATTTTTGTAATTTGATTACAATTTGTGAAATACAAAAAAGATTAAATTAAAAATTTTTGAATTAAGAAAATGAAAAATGTAGCATTAAACTGTATAAAAATAATCAAGCCAAAATATTAAATTACCTATAAAGTTTGAGAAAAGATTTCTTGTTTCTTTATACTTTATGCATTTTTTAAACTTTTTTATGCACATTTCTAGTTACTTTTAATATACCGCATTAGAATTTTATTTTATAAAATAAAATGATTCAAAAAGTACATAAAATTACTAATAAATTTCTTTAAAGAAAAAAACTGTTTGATATAAACTTAGTTTACAAATTTCTTTTATAGGAACAAAAAGTATTCTTTTTATTTAAACAAAAATACAATTTTATGCAACTAATTGCTTAATATTTCAGGATAATATAAAGTTTGGAAAAAGAAAATATTTTATTACATCTGAAAAGATGTATTAAGCAATTGTTTTCTTCTTCCGGTCTGTGCAAAGATTTCTCAAAATTATTACAATGATGAACAGTATATAAAGTTTTGTAACATAAATATTTTTGCGGAAATTATCATTGTAATTTAAAAATTATTATTCTTTGTGGAGTTAATAAAAGGGAGATCAAGCTTCATTTCATGAATTTTAAATCGAGCAACATGACTGTGAACACGAAATTCGTTTTGGTTTGCTTGATAGCAAATGCAATTTTTTGCAGTGGACTACCACAAAATTATTGTCAACACGAAATTGATCACGATGAAATGATAGATTGTGATGAAGCAGGAGATAATCCTTGGTGAGAATATTATATTACTTAATTATTATAATTATTTTTAATATATAATTATTAATATACTATTATTTTTAATTTGAATAATAATTTTAATGTTTTTTATGAAAATTTTAGGTCTTACGGTCAAATGAGAGGTGTTCAAAACTATGATCACCCAATGATGAAGTGAGTTATTTTCTTTAAACATATTTTCTTTACTTAATTTAATTAAAACTCATTTTTAATTAAATATCACTTTTTTGACACTCATTTTGAGAAAATGTTATTGAATTTGGTATAAATTTTAGAAACTTTTACAGTGACAAAATTGACAGTCTCGGGTTTAAATTTTTCAATTTTTTTTAATTTAATATAATTTTATACAATTCCATGTAAAATTCAAAATAGGAACATTTTTTCAAAATTTAAAGAATGTTTCATTAAAATCGTTTTTTTCGAATTATGTAAAAATAAGGAAAATAAAGCATAAAAATATTGTGGGTAATTTTTTAATTGGAAAAAATTGATTCAAATAACCAATTACTTGTCTAACATCAAATAATTATTTACTTGAATCAAATAATTTTTATTTAAATCAAATAAATTTTATTTCAACCAATAATTTCAGGATATTTGAAGTAAATTTCATTTAATTGACACGAATAAAAATTATTTGATAAATTATTCACTTGATACAAATAAATATTTTTTTAATACAAATAATTTATTCATTACAATTGCAAACTTTATTAGATAATAGACAAATAATCGTTTATTTGAATCAATTATTTTTTTTAGTGTAATAAATTTTTTAAATTTAAATCGAAATATTGTGAAAAAATGCAATTTGTATGGATTTTCATTTTTAAAATTAAAAGAAAAAATCTTCAAAAGATTTTGACTTCTGACGCAATAAGCAAAAAAATTTGCAAATAAAAAAAATTTTTTAAATAGAATTTTAAATTAACTGAAATTTCATTTGAATAATTTATTAAATAAAATTGCCATTTTTATGAAATGAAAATCTAATTATTTCCATTTCAGAAAATTTTTATTCAACCAAATTTTCTTTACTCAAAATTTAAATTTAACGAATTTTTTGACAGCATTACAATTGGCATTTGATTAAATTTTATACCAAATTTCAAGAGAATCAAAATTATTTGAATTTCAGAATATTTAATTCTTAAATTCGAACAAAAATTTCAATAATGGATAATTAAAATAAATTGTTATAATTTTCAAATTAAGTTAAAATTAAAATTAAATATTATTTTTATTTAATAAATGTAATATTTTTAATTAACAACAGCAATCTTTTTATTTAACAAAAGCAATATTTTTATTTAAATAAATCATTCCAAATGAAAAATAGTAAAGCAACAAATTCCCCTTCAAGAAATTTTTACTATTAATAAAATTAATTTCAGTGATAATAATTATTAACTAAAAAAAAATTTAAATTTAAATTTATTTCAGAAGTTTCAACGATGAAGGATATTTCGAAATTCCAAGAAAGTTTCGCCCACAAAACTACATGTCAGAAGTAAGAAATTTGGCACAAAATTATGAACCTCCAAGAGATTATCTAAAGGGAATGAGCTATCAACCAAATCCAATGTCACCAATGCATTTAGCTGCGAACCCTATGAGATTTTCAAAATCTGCCCAAATGCAGCCATTTGCATATCCAGGTACACAATAAAATGTGTCTACTCGACATTTTCATTTTCGTAAAATACGAAATTAAACTTTAATTTAATTAAACTTTAATTTTCCATTATTAAACTTTAATTTGAAATTTTCTCATTTCCATTTTACACATTAAAAAAACATTTTCTTTTTTAAATTAGAAGAAAGAATTTTACAAATAAGTTTCATATTAACATTTTTTTAAACAATCATTAGCATACGTTTCTCAACGATAAAAAAATTGTTTAAAAAATTAAAAAAGGTATATTAATATATATATAATAATATATAAATATATTAATCCGATTTTAAATTGTAACAATTGTGTTATAAGTTCGACAAGTAGATGATGTAATTAATGTCAATGATTTCTCAATAAAAAACTGATTAAGCATAAATATCATTTATTTATTTTTATTTTCTTACCACGTTTCACATAATTATAACAAGGTCATTATTTTCAATACCTTGAGTATTTCAAAAAAAATTTTTAATTTTATTAATAATACTGTATTAAATTAATAAAATATTATATTATTATAATAATATAATATTATATTAATACTATACAAATTCTAATTAATATTAATTTACTTTAAATTATTTTACTTCTTTTCAAATTTATTAAAAACTTATTAAAAATTTTATGTCCCTAAAGTTCTAAACGTTAAAATCATCAAAAATTTTTTCTGATACTTTTTTTGAAGTTTGAATTTTGGTAAAGAATACAAATTTGCAAATTCAAAAATTAATTATTTACTTAATAAATGTGAAATTCATTTTTCGTCTATCATTAAAATACAATATTGGAAAATATCGAAAGAGAAAAAATTTTCGTTCATTTGAACTTTCAAAAAAATTTAAAGACACAAAATTTAACAGTAATTTATAAAATTAATTTCTCTAAATTAAAAAATTTCAAAAACAGAATTTCCCAAAAATTTGTATAATTAAAATTTTTTATTTAAACAAAATTTTAGTAAATTTATCTTATTTAATTATTTAAAAAGATTTTCAAATAATTTACAATAATTTTTGAGAAATGTTAAAACAAATTTTTAAAACTATTGAACTACATTTTTTAATTTAAATTTATTTTTTAGAAAATTTTGATTTATTTAGGTAATTTAAAAAGTCGTTCAAATAATTTATAATATTTTTTGAAAAATAGAACAAATTTTGCAAAAGCAATTTCTCTAAATTAAAAAAAAAAATTCAATGTAAAAAACAAAGTTTTAGAACTGACAAATTATAATTTTTAATTTTAATTTATTTTTCAAAATAATTTTTAAGAAATTTGTTTTTATTTCTTCGAAAAGTTCCATTTTCCTAAAATTTTGAACTTTTAAATAAACGAAATATTTTTAGAAACTTACTAGAATCAAATGAAAAATACAAAAACTCTACACTATTGTAATTTATTATTTATTTAGTTAAGAATTAATTTTTTACTTGTAAAAAACAATATTTTGTATAATAATAAAATTTAAATTCAAAGAACTAATTAAAAATATCGTTGTTCATTTGAACTTTTGAAAATTTAGGGACCTAAAGTTTTTCAGTAATAATAATTTTTTAGAAACAGAAAATATTTTGCAAAATCAATTCCTCTAAATTAATAAATTTCAATTTAAAAAATAAATTTTTAAAACTGTTGAATTAATTAATTTTAATATAAACAAATGTTTAAAAAATTAGTTTTTTTTTTATTTATTTAAAGAGTTTTCTTTAATGATTTACAATAATTTTCTTGGAAATAAAGAAAATTATACAAGAGCAATTTCTCTAAATAAATTAATAAATTTTGATTTAAAAACGAAATTTCAAAACTGTTGAATTAAAATTTAATTTTTTATTTTTAAATAAATATTAAATTTCGGAAAAATATTTTATAATTTGGGAAGAAAATGCAAAAAAGCGAAATTTTGTTATAAATATTATTAAACTTTAAAAAAAATTCTATGAAATTTAGTAAAGTTATATCAATTATCAAGAATATCAATAAAATTTTAATACAACTTTACAAAATTTCACATAAGTTTTTTTTTAAAGATTAGTATTTTTTATATCAAAATTTTGTTTTGTCGTATTTTCTCCGCAAATTGTAAAATACTTTTACAAAATTTAACATTTATCTTCTCTCCGTGGAGATAAAAATAAAAATTTTTTATTCAATTCCAAAATTTTGTTTTTACCTATTCTTTAAACCAAATTTTATAAAATTTGATTTGTTTATTTGAATAGTTTTTCAAATAATTTACATGAATTTTTTAGAAAAGGGAACAATTTTACAAAACTAATTTTTTTAAATTGATTTATTTGAAGAGTTATTCAACCATTTTTAAAAATATTTTTTAAGGAATAGAAAGAATGTTTTCAATATCAAATTCCAAAATTTTGTTTTTAAATTAAAATTTATTAATTTAGAAAAATTGTTTTTGTTAAATTTTTTCTATTTCTTAAAAATGATTATTAATAATTTAAAATCTCTTCAAATAAATAAATAAAACAAATATCTTAAAAATTTGTTGATATTAAAATTTTTAATTCAACATTTTCAAGCTTCTCTAAAATAATTTACAGTAATTTTTTGCAAAATAGAAAAAATTTTACAAAACTAATTTTTCTAAAATAAAAAAAAATAAAATTTTTTAAACAATTTTTTAAACTAATTTTTATGAAATTTGGTTTATTTATTTAAATAGCTTTTTAAATAATTTACAATAATTTTTTAGAAATTGGAACAATTTTACAAAACTAATTTTCTTAAATTGATTTATTTGAACAGTTCTTCAACTGTTTTAAAACATATTTTTTGAGGAATAAAAAGAATTTTTTCATAATTTTCAAAATTTTAATATGATAATGAAAAGATTACAAGACAAAAAATCCAGATTGAAAAATCCAAGAAAAAAAGTCTAAAGTACAAAAAATCCAAAATAAATAAAAACATTCCAAATAAATAATGAAACATGTAAAAAAGCCACGTTTTTACTTTTTAAGCTATAAAATCGGAATTTTAAATGTTAATGTTAAAATCGGAGGATTTTAATTATTTACATAAATAATAAAATTCTACACAAAAATTCAATTATTTTCAAAAATAAAAAAATTCTTCATAAACATTCAATTATTTTCATAAATAAAAAAATTTCAATTATTATAGAAAATTTTTAAAACATTTATTCCAAGAAATACAATTATTTTCAACAAATTTTGATAAAATTCTTTACAAAAATTCAATTATTTTATCAATATAATTTCAATTAAATTACTCGATTAATTTAGTTTTCAGAAATTTAAAATGTTAAGTTTACCTACTTTCGATTCACAGTCATCGAAATGAACAGTTCAAAAAAAGGACAATTTCATTCAAGGCAACCATTTAAATTTTTATATCTCAATTTTTTTCATTAGATTTTTAATTTCTTTGGACTTTTTGTCCAGGACAAAAAATCCAAAAAATAAGTCCAAAGTGAAACTATTTTATTTTTTACTTTTTTTGATTTCATTTACTTTTGATTTTTTGGTTTGGATTTCTTGTCCGGATACCTAATGAAAAATATATAATGTTTCGAACGTTTCATTAAATGCGACGATATTTTCATACTTCTCCTAATTTTTATTTTAAAAAAAAATTATTTTGCATATTAAAAAAACTAAATATTCACTAATTAAATATTTAATTCTAATTATTATTCTTTATTCTATTTTGTTTCTTTATTGTATTATATATATTTTAAAACATATTTAAATAGAAAAAAAATCCCTCTTCAAATTTTTGAACTTTCAAATGAAATAAAAAAATTGAATCCAATTATCTAAAATCAATGCTTTTTTTTTAAGGTCATTATTATGATTCACTGGCAGCGTACGATGAGCCTTCGTATTATCATCCAATGTTAAATTATTACGGTGGATATAGTCCCGACGAATTGGAGGATGAATATAATGACGATTGTTCAACGGGAAAATGTCCTCAAATGCCATCAGTAGAAGATAATAAAGAATCAAGTGGGAAAAAATCGAAAAAAAATCACGACAAACGTCATAATTCACGTGCCGAAAAAATGTCATCTATCAAAGCAATTGCAAACGAGGGCAGTATGATACATGCCGATGAAATTGAAGAAGAAACTATCGACAAAGACTCATGGGGTATTGATCGACGTGAGAAACAAAAAAATAAAGAAATGAAATTATCTGAAGATAATCTTAAGGGTAAACGTTCCATTGAAAAGGGAAATATGAAAAATTTCAATGATAAACAAGACGATTTGGAGAGAACTAAGAAACATGTGAAACAAGTCGACACAACAAACACAGAAAAAATTATTCCAGCAATGAAACCATTTATTCATCAAATAATGCACATACCGAAAAATTTATAAATCCTTTCATCCTCTCATTACAAATTCTTCGATTCGATAAATTGAATTAAATTATTTAAATTGATTGAAAATTAAAATAAATTGTTTAATTTAATTCTTTGTAAATTAAATTAAATTAATAATTTAATTCTTTCAAAATTAAAATAAATTATTTAATTTTATTTTTTGTAGATTAAAATTGTAAAAAATACGATAAGCAAGACTTAAATAATATTTATAATTTCATCAACATTTATGGATCAGTGTTGTAAGTGTATGATGAAAGATAATTATTTCCAAATTCATATCTTTTTTTTATTTGAACTTGTGCTGAATTAGTAAAAATTTTGATTTTTTATGTAACTCGATTTAATATAAATATTGATATAAAAATGGAAATATGCAAAAAGCATTTCTTTTTAATTGCAAACTATGCATCGAACTTGTATAATATTTTCACTGATTGACAAATAAATTATTCATTTGCTCTCATTTAAACACATTTTTATTCGCACTTTATATTCCCTTGAAAAATTAACCCTATAAAATAAAAACAAATAAAATAAATTAAATTAATATAAAAAATAATAAAAAAATAATAAATTATTATATTATTATAAATTAGCAATTTCAACTTTTCCAAAAAACTGACAAAAACTATGATATTGGCTATTTTTGTCAAACTTTAAAGCCAAAAAGCTACATGAAGACTATGCTAAATTTACAAAAAATAGGTTAATAGATTGTTTATTTAAAAATAAAGAAAAAGAGGAAAATAGATTGAATTTTTGGAAACGCCCACAATTTCCATCTTTTTCCAAAACAACAGGCCAAAAATGAAAAATTGTCTATTTTTGACAAATTTCAAAGCAAAAATTATTACGAAGACCACGCTAAATTTCCAAAAAATTTCTGGCCTACAGAAATCCGAATTTAAAATTCCATACCTTTTCCATGATTTCCAGGTCAAATTTTTACGAAATTCCAGTGGAATTTTAAATCTAATTTCATTATTTTTGGGCTCTTGGAAAATACTTTACTTATTAAACAGTCTCGACTTTTTGGTAAAAAATCTAAAATTATCAAAAATTCGAAAAAATTCAAAAAACCGAATTTCTTAAAATTCAACATTTTTTCTTCTCTTTTATGGGATTTAGCTTCATTATTTTTGTGCTCTTGGAAAATACTTTACTTATTTAATAGTCTCGACTGTTTGGTAAAAAATCTAAAATTATCAAAAATTCGAAAAAATTCAAAAAACCGAATTTCTTAAAATTCAACATTTTTTCCTCTCTTTTATGGGATTTAGCTTAATTATTTTTGTGCTTTTGGAAAATACTTTACTTATTTAATAGTCTCGACTTTTTGGTAAAAAATCTAAAATTATCAAAAATTCAAAATAATTCAAAAAACCGAATTTCTTAAAATTCAACATTTTTTCCTCTCTTTTATGGGATTTAGCTTAATTATTTTTGTGCTTTTGGAAAATACTTTACTTATTTAATAGTCTCGACTTTTTGGTAAAAAATCTAAAATTATCAAAAATTCGAAAAAATTTAAAAAACTGAATTTCTTAAAATTTAACATTTTTTCCTCTCTTTTATGGGATTTAGCTTAATTATTTTTGTGCTTTTGGAAAATACTTTACTTATTTAATAGTCTCGACGTTTTGGTAAAAAATCTAAAATTATCAAAAATTCGAAAAAATTCAAAAAACCGAATTTCTTAAAATTCAACATTTTTTCTTCTCTTTTATGGGATTTAGCTTCATTATTTTTGTGCTCTTGGAAAATACTTTACTTATTTAATAGTCTCGACTGTTTGGTAAAAAATCTAAAATTATCAAAAATTCAAAATAATTCAAAAAACCGAATTTCTTAAAATTCAACATTTTTTCCTCTCTTTTATGGGATTTAGCTTAATTATTTTTGTGCTTTTGGAAAATACTTTACTTATTTAATAGTCTCGACTTTTTGGTAAAAAATCTAAAATTATCAAAAATTCGAAAAAATTTAAAAAACTGAATTTCTTAAAATTTAACATTTTTTCCTCTCTTTTATGGGATTTAGCTTAATTATTTTTGTGCTTTTGGAAAATACTTTACTTATTTAATAGTCTCGACGTTTTGGTAAAAAATCTAAAATTATCAAAAATTCGAAAAAATTCAAAAAACCGAATTTCTTAAAATTCAACATTTTTTCCTCTCTTTTATGGGATTTAGCTTAATTATTTTTGTGCTTTTGGAAAATACTTTACTTATTTAATAGTCTCGACTTTTTGGTAAAAAATCTAAAATTATCAAAAATTCAAAAAAATTCAAAAAACCGAATTTCTTAAAATTCAACATTTTTTCCTCTCTTTTATGGGATTTAGCTTCATTATTTTTGTGCTTTTGGAAAATACTTTACTTATTTAATAGTCTCGACTTTTTGGTAAAAAATCTAAAATTATCAAAAATTCGAAAAAATTTAAAAAACTGAATTTCTTAAAATTCAACATTTTTTCCTCTCTTTTATGGGATTTAGCTTAATTATTTTTGTGCTTTTGGAAAATACTTTACTAATTTAATAGTCTCGACTTTTTGGTAAAAAATCTAAAATTATCAAAAATTCGAAAAAATTCAAAAAACCGAATTTCTTAAAATTCAACATTTTTTCCTCTCTTTTATGGGATTTAGCTTCATTATTTTTGTGCTTTTGGAAAATACTTTACTTATTTAATAGTCTCGACGTTTTGGTAAAAAATCTAAAATTATCAAAAATTCAAAAAACCGAATTTCTTAAAATTCAAAATTTTTTCCTCTCATTTATGGGATTTAGCTTCATTATTTTTGTGCTTTTGGAAAATACTTTACTTATTTAATAGTCTCGACTCTTTGGTAAGAAATCTAAAATTTTAGAGAATTATCAATAATTCAAAAAACCGAATTTCTTAAAATTCAACATTTTTTCCTCTCTTTTATGGGATTTAGCTTCATTATTTTTGTGCTTTTGGAAAATACTTTACTTATTTAATAGTCTCGACTTTTTGGTAAAAAATCTAAAATTATCAAAAATTCGAAAAAATTTAAAAACCCGAATTTCTTAAAATTCAAAATTTTTTTCTCTCTTTTATGGGATTTAGCTTCATTATTTTTGTGCTTTTGGAAAATACTTTACTTATTTAATAGTCTCGACGTTTTGGTAAAAAATCTAAAATTATCAAAAATTCGAAAAAATTCAAAAAACCGAATTTCTTAAAATTCAAAATTTTTTCCTCTCTTTTATGGGATTTAGCTTCATTATTTTTGTGCTTTTGGAAAATACTTTACTTATTTAATAGTCTCGACTCTTTGGTAAGAAATCTAAAATTTTAGAGAATTATCAATAATTCAAAAAACCGAATTTCTTAAAATTCAACATTTTTTCCTCTCTTTTATGGGATTTAGCTTCATTATTTTTGGGCTCTTGGAAAATACTTTACTTATTTAATAATCTCCACCCTTTGGTGAAAAATAAAAAATTATCAAAAATCCGAAAAATCGAATTTCTTAAAACTCAATTTTTTTCTTCTCTTTTATGCCATTTAGCTTTATTATTATTTGAATTTCTATTCAACACGGAAAAAAAAGTACGTGAATCCTTCCTTGACAGTGCTTGACTTTTGGATAGGACACAAAATACAAGGCTGTTCCATATACTTTTTATTAGAAAATATAAGAAAGTCCTAGAATTATTCTAGTACTAGTACGGCCCTTTTTTTCCGTGAAGAGATAAAATGGAAAACAGAAAAAATTTAGAAACTTTTAAAAGTTCCATGCCGTTTTCATGATTTCCCTGATTTCCAGAAGCCTTTTAAAAATTCCATACCATTTCCATGATTTCCATGATTTCTAGATTGTGTAAGAACCCTGGGCCTAATAACACAGTTTTAAATCTAAAATTTTTTTTTAAATTTCAAATACCAAAACTTAAGAATTAAAAACCAAAAATTATTTTTGGTACAGATTATGGCAATGAGATAAAAATATTTTTTAATTTTAAGTTAAAATTTTCATAAAAAATCTTTAAACACAGAAAAAATTGCAGAAATTGTTTTAAATTAAAAAAAAAATTTTACTAGTCCTATACTATTGCTAGAACAATTCTAATAATTATCTGAGTCATCAAAATTAATTTAATTCACATCAATTTATAAAAAGTAACCACAGCCGATAATCACCAGAAGATGAAAAATTATTTTTTGAGGAAACTTAACCTTCTGTTTACTAAAAATTGTTAGTCAAAAAATTTTTTATTGGTCCTAATTCATTACTAGGACAATTCCAATAATTATCTGAGCCATCAAAATTAATTTAATTCACAATTTATAAAAAGTAACCACAGCCGATAATTAGCAGAAGATGAAAAATTATATTTTGGGCAAACTTAATCTTCTGTTTACCAACAATTTCTAGTCACAAAAATTTTTAATGGTCCTAAACTATAGTGGGAACAATTCTTATAATTATCTGAGTCATAAAAAATTTTTTAATTATTAATTTACTAAAAGTAACCACAGCCGATAATCAGCAGAAGATGAAAAATTATTTTTTAGCGAACTTTATCTCTTGTTTACTAACAATTGCTAATCAAAAAATTTTATACTGGTCCTAATTTATTACTAGAACAATTTCGTATTAAAGAAATGAATTGTGATATTTATGGGACAGTATTTTTACCAACTTCTATTGAATAATAATTTTACAAAAAAAAATTCAAATACAAAAAATAATTGCATTACATGTATTTTTTAATAAATAGAATTTTTTTTTGTAAACTAGAATTTGGAATTTTAATACCCGAGAATGTAAACATTTTGTTTTTAAAATTTCTTAATAAAAAATAATGACGAAATTAGTATCATGACACGAATAATTGATTGCGTAGCTCGCGAAGAATATTCAATCAATTTTAAAAATTGATATTTGATAAATAAATGATCATGGGAAGGTAAATAATTGAATAAGAAATCCAATGTGTTTCGTCAGTAATGCGACGTTTCGTTGGCTAAGGTTTGCCAACCTCATCAGGCTAAATTTATTAAAAACAGAAAAGGCACTTTAATATTTATAAAGGTTTTCTAAAAAACACTATTTTTCACTAAAGTAATTAACAACGAATAATATCCTACCTAATTCATTAAAACATAAAAACACTATTTTAGTTCGTCATGAAGAATAAAAATTAAATAAATAAATAAATAAATTAAAAAACAAAACACGACACATATTCCACACAAGAGATTAAATTTATAATTATATAGAAGAAAAGGAGACATTCCTCTACAACGACTCAGTGTCAACTGAAATAAAATTAGAAACTGAGATAAGAAAGTCAAAACTATGAAAACTAAAAGAGTCAATGAACTGATATGTAAACACAGGTGGTCAGCAAGATATGTTATTGTTTTGTCATTATGGACATGAGTCTATACGTCTGAAAAGAGGAAAGAACGTTTTATTTAGAGTGAGAATATCTTCTTTTCTGTTAATAGTGGAATGATTTGTTTTTATGTGGATCATTTCCGATATTCGTCGTTTTATAAAATTTTTTTCATTGTCCAAAACCTTCACATTTTCCCAATCAAAATCATGATTGAAATTGATACAATGTCGGTACACTACAGAGTTGTCATTCACTTTTTTATGTTCGTTTATGCGAGTTAGTAAAGATCGTTTCGTCTCGCCAATATATGTTGCAGGGCAGGTTTTACAATCAAACTTATATACAACATTTGTTCTATCCCATTTTTTTGTCGAATCTTTACCTAGTTTGATGATAGAACTAGAATTTTTATTTATAAGAGGAATAGACGTGCAATTAAACTCTCTAAGGATATTTGACAACTTGAAAAAACATTTTTCATTAAAAGGTAAACAAACTTTTGGAATTTTACTATATATATTAGTTTTGTTATTATTATTATTAACATCAGAAAATTTTATTTTATTAACACGAATCTTGATATGTTTTTCAATGAAGTCTGAAGGATAGTTATTGTTTTTTAAAATATTTTTAATTTTTTTCAAGTTGTCAAATTGGAATTTTTTATTGGACAATGAAAATGCCCTATCTACAAGATTATATACAATATTCTTCTTCTGTTGAAGTGGATGATCTGAAAAATAGTTAATGAGTCTATCTGATGAAATCGGTTTTTGATACCAATTTGTAATAATTTTGTTGTTGTCTCTGATAAGCTTTAGATCGAGAAAGTTAATAGAATTTTCTTTTTCTTTTTCAACAGTAAATTGTAATTTTCGATTGTAAGAGTTAAAAGTGTCAATGACCAGATCAACATGTTCTTTTTTTATGGCTAAAATTGTGTCATCCACATACCTATAATAGAAAAGTGGAACACAATTATGTTTTTCTTTTAACTCTTTTAAACATTCAGTTTTTTTAAAAGAAAAAAACATAATTGTGTTCCACTTTTCTATTATAGGTATGTGGATGACACAATTTTAGCCATAAAAAAAGAACATGTTGATCTGGTCATTGACACTTTTAACTCTTACAATCGAAAATTACAATTTACTGTTGAAAAAGAAAAAGAAAATTCTATTAACTTTCTCGATCTAAAGCTTATCAGAGACAACAACAAAATTATTACAAATTGGTATCAAAAACCGATTTCATCAGATAGACTCATTAACTATTTTTCAGATCATCCACTTCAACAGAAGAAGAATATTGTATATAATCTTGTAGATAGGGCATTTTCATTGTCCAATAAAAAATTCCAATTTGACAACTTGAAAAAAATTAAAAATATTTTAAAAAACAATAACTATCCTTCAGACTTCATTGAAAAACATATCAAGATTCGTGTTAATAAAATAAAATTTTCTGATGTTAATAATAATAATAACAAAACTAATATATATAGTAAAATTCCAAAAGTTTGTTTACCTTTTAATGAAAAATGTTTTTTCAAGTTGTCAAATATCCTTAGAGAGTTTAATTGCACGTCTATTCCTCTTATAAATAAAAATTCTAGTTCTATCATCAAACTAGGTAAAGATTCGACAAAAAAATGGGATAGAACAAATGTTGTATATAAGTTTGATTGTAAAACCTGCCCTGCAACATATATTGGCGAGACGAAACGATCTTTACTAACTCGCATAAACGAACATAAAAAAGTGAATGACAACTCTGTAGTGTACCGACATTGTATCAATTTCAATCATGATTTTGATTGGGAAAATGTGAAGGTTTTGGACAATGAAAAAAATTTTATAAAACGACGAATATCGGAAATGATCCACATAAAAACAAATCATTCCACTATTAACAGAAAAGAAGATATTCTCACTCTAAATAAAACGTTCTTTCCTCTTTTCAGACGTATAGACTCATGTCCATAATGACAAAACAATAACATATCTTGCTGACCACCTGTGTTTACATATCAGTTCATTGACTCTTTTAGTTTTCATAGTTTTGACTTTCTTATCTCAGTTTCTAATTTTATTTCAGTTGACACTGAGTCGTTGTAGAGGAATGTCTCCTTTTCTTCTATATAATTATAAATTTAATCTCTTGTGTGGAATATGTGTCGTGTTTTGTTTTTTAATTTATTTATTTATTTATTTAATTTTTATTCTTCATGACGAACTAAAATAGTGTTTTTATGTTTTAATGAATTAGGTAGGATATTATTCGTTGTTAATTACTTTAGTGAAAAATAGTGTTTTTTAGAAAACCTTTATAAATATTAAAGTGCCTTTTCTGTTTTTAATAAATTTAGCCTGATGAGGTTGGCAAACCTTAGCCAACGAAACGTCGCATTACTGACGAAACACATTGGATTTCTTATTCAATTATTTACCTTCCCATGATCATTTATTTATCAAATATCAATTAAACCATGGAAGGATTTAAATCTACTCAATTATTAATTTTAAAAATTGTGACATTCAACATATTCAGCAAATTAAGTGTGTTGAATTCTTTATTAAATATAATCCAACTACTTCTCATTTTTCAGTTCTTTTTACGATTCTAAGGAGTTCGCACATGATTTCCAAGTATGAAGACCATTGTATTAGTCTCGTTTATTTTGCAATTATTCCTTCTTATTCATTCAACTCCAATAATTGAAAATAATATTCAAAGAACATCTCCATTCAAATTAAAAATTAAACAACACAATTCCTCTCAAATTATCAATAAATTTTCACAAAAAATTAATCAAACTAAATTCAAAGAGAAATTTGATAATGAAAATGATCTGAAAGTGAAATTATTCGATAATGAATTAAAATTACAATTACATAATCGTATTAAAAAAAATGTGATTCCATCGGCAACAGTTATTTGTTACGATACAAATTCAAATAATGGGTATAATATGGAAAATTGTAATAATCTCGAAGGACAGCAAATTTTGACAATACCACCACAAGGAACAATACAAGTACCACAAAATCCTCAACAAAATATACGTGGTCTATTGATAAATTGTTTACTTCCTCAGAATCTTTTTGAAAATTTACAAAGTACAAAAATTACTCAAGTTCCTGTACCACAACAACAGAGTGTCAACGTTTGGAACATTCCGAATGATTTGGGCAGTCAGGCACAATTTCCACAAGAAGTTATTTATCAACAACAACAACAGCAGCAACCACAACAACTGCAACTACAGCAACTGCAACTGCAACCGCAACCACAATCTACAGTATTATGCAATCCGCAAACTAATAATTTTCCAATAAATGGCAATTCAAATTTACAACCTGGACTGCAGATCAATGAAGTGTCCCAAGGTGTCGTTCAAAATTGTCTGACAAATGAAGGACCTCAATTCAATAGTCAAGGAATTTCTCTTCAAAACGCCATTAATAGTAAAACTTTCCTCAATTGTTTGTTCCAAGCAATGCAGAACAATGGAAACCAAAATAATCAACAAACTCCCCAAGGTGGCGGTGGACTTCAAAATCCTAATCAAAACGGAATTTTTAATAATCAACTTCCTCAACAACAAACACAACAACAATTTCCTCCTAATCCTCAACAATCACAATTTTCCCAATCGTCACAATTTCAACAACAATTTCCCTCAAATCCTAATCAACAATTTCCTCAACCACCACAATTACAACAACAATTTCCCTCAAATCCTCAACAATCACAATTTTCCCAATCGCCACAATTTCAACAACAATTTCCTCCAAATCCTAATCAACAATTTCCTCAACCACCACAATTACAACAACAATTTCCTCCAGTTCCTCAACAACCACAACAACTTCAGCAATCTCAATTTTCCCAATTACCACAATTTCAACAACAATTTCCCCAACAAAATCAACAGCAATTCCCTCCAAATCCTCAACAATTCCCTCAATTACAACAACAATACCAACAAAATTTTCCCCCACAAGGATACAATTCACTTCCACAACAACCGAATAGTCAAGGAAACAGAGGATTTCCATTTAATTTAAATCCAACGGGAAATCAAAATAATAAAAATGATTTACCGCTTGATCAATTGAATAGAACAAGTCAAGAAGCATTGGAAGCAATTCAGCAGAGAAATTTTGGAAGAAACTTTAACTCACGTACAAAATAAAAAGTGGTAAGCATTTATTTTCGCATCAATTTTTTCAATGATAAAAAATATTACTTCTTACAGGTATAAATTTTGGGTATTAAAAAATATTTTCTTAGCTTTCTTTCAAGATTACGTTCTTAAAAGTGATAAATATTAACTAACTAATGAAAATTAGAATATTATCAATGTTACAAATTTTGATATTTAAAGAAGGTTCAATTTTTATATTAATAAAGTAATATTTTTTGATATACAAAATATTAATGAATTTGAAATATAATTAAAAATTAATTAATTAGTTAAATTTTTCTATGAATGAATTAATAGTACCTAATTAATTATATTATTAATTAATAATTAAATTAATAATTAAATTAATAATTACATTAATAATTAAATTAATAATTAATATTCTACATCATTAACAGTTTCATAAGAAAATTTTTTTACTTTGGTGTAGTTCAAAATGTTTATAATCAACAAATTTAGAAGAAAAAAATTTTTTCCATTCAAATTTACAAAAAAAGTTTTATAATATTTCTTGATCAAAAACTCAAAAATAAAAATTTGTAAACAAAAAACATTATTTTCTGTATAAAAAATACGTTTTTCTCCTAATAGTTGATCATAAACATTGTGAAATTCAACCAAGTACTTTTATGAGTAATTTTAAAATTTAATATACGTTAAAATTTTTTTTTTTCAAAATACAAGTACACTGAAAAAAAATTTATTCAATTAAAAAATAATGGATTTCTTGCCTATTATTAAATAAATATTTAATTGAATCAAATAATTTTTATTTAAATCAAATTGTATTTGAACCAATATTTTAACCAATCATTTTAGTATTTCAAACGAATATCATTTATTTGATTTAAATAAAATTTATATGATAATAGTCAATTAATAGTTCATTTGAATAAAAAAAATTTTTTTTACTAAAAATTATCTGAATACGTTATTAATATTTTTATAATTATTTAACAATTATAATAATTATAATTTTTATTAATTATAATAACTATAATTATTTAATAATTAGGCAAATAATTATGTATGCAAACTAATTAATTATTTAAAAAAAAATTTATTATATTAAATTCTAAAGAAATTAATGTTTTAATTTTTTTCAGCGAGATGAAAAATCTAATTTCTCCATTGCAAAATTATTAACATCCACGTCACGATGTCTAAATAATAAATAAATTGAAGAGAATTTGAAACTGATCAACCTCAAGCTGTCCGTATATTGTTAAATCCAAAGAAACTTCTTAAGATTATGTAATTATAAACTTTTTAAAGCTACGCTTCTGTATTGATTTACATTCAAAAAAATGTTCTTTATTTATTTATTTAATACACTAATTATAATAATATTTTAAATATTAATATAATATTAATTATTAATTATATTAATATTCTACTATCAATTAATATGCCAACAAATTAAAATTTATATAATATTTATATTAATTATACTATTTTTTTAGAATTTATTTATTTATTGTTGCAATAATTAAAAAAAGTATTTTAATTATAAAAATAAAAAAAATTATTTCTTTCATGAGGAACATTTTTTTGAACGTCTTATACGCAGAAAAAGAAATTAATTAATAGCAATAAATTTTTAGATTTTGTTTTATCGCATAATTTTCAATAATGCAACTACATAGATTTATTTTCTATGTTTATAGATATAAACATAAAATAAAAATATTAGGAAAACAAAAAAATTTACGAAAATATTTTTCATAAAATTACTATTAACTAATTAATATTAAATAAATTATGTTTAGATTTTCAATATTTAGATGATAATAATTTTGAATTATTAATTATTTTGTTGTATTTTCTATGTTTATAAATATAAACATAAAGTAAAAATATTAGGAAAACAAAAAAATTTACGAAAAAAAATATTTAAAAAAAAAATAAATAAAATATTTTTCGTAAAATTACTATTAATTAATTAATATTAGTATAATAATTATTTAATATTATTAATTAAACATAATCAATAAAATTATGTTTAGATTTTAAATATTTAAATGATGATAATAATTTTGAATTATTAATTATTTTGTTAAAAATTTAAGGTAATGCCTGTGAATTTATAATTTTGTTCTCTATTATTAATCAGCGCGCTGACACCTAATTATATCTATAAATTTATCTCCGAATAAGTAGAAAAAATTTCTTTGTATTAAGAAAAATTGTTTATGCTTTAAACAATGTTAGATTTAAATCAAAAATAATTTTATTCGAGTCGAATACAGTTTGAATCAAATAAATATTTGTATTTTCACATAGTAATTAAATTATTAATTAAAATTTAACTCAAATGATCGTTTCTATTTTAATTGCTTTTGAAATTCCAATTATAAAAGTTAATAAATTCATTAGTGGAATTTAAAAATTTAATTTAAGAAATAAACTCAAAATGATAAATTTTAAAAATTAAAATAATTAAAACTGAAAAATGGAAAATAAAGTTTTTAAATTCAAAAAGATTAAAAAGATTCTAAATGAGTATTAATTAGAATTTACAATTTTTTATTTGATTCAAACATTTTTTAAAGTAGTAGTTTATTTACTTGTAATTTTACCTTGTAAAAACGCGATTATTTTCTAAGTCTTTCTTATATATTGTATATAAAATGTATTTTTTTGTGTTTAATAAATGACTGTTTTTTAAATAATATATGATTTTGGAGAAAAATACCAAATAACACAGAATAAAATATTCAATTTTCGAAATGATTATTTAGCTTATGAAATAATCTAGTCAATATTTTAAAGATAAAAAAATGGCCATATGCAAATAATGAATAAATAATACGAATAAATTATATTATACCTTTTGATTAAAAAGTACTCACATATTTAAATCACATTTTCTTGTTGCTGTTTTTATATTAAATTGGCCTTTTTTCTGCGCAGATATTTTCACAAATGGTCCCTGTAAAGAAAAATAAAAACATTAATTTTTTCTTTCGAATAAGAAATTAAAATGTCTGCCACAAAGAAAACTTTCATTAGAACAAAGGAATTTTCCTTTGATATTCTAATGGAAACTTTCTTTGCGGTGGAGATTTTCAGCTTGAAGAAATTAAAGGTTCAATTAGTCAAAATAATTAGTTTCTATAGTGAAAAATAGAATTTATGATTGAAAAATAAGCTATGCATGTTCTTTTTTGTGGGCCTTTTGGAGTTTTTGAAATACTCTTACCTCGAAGTATTTTTTCCTTCAAGAGTCTAATTTTACAAATAAAGTTGAAATTTAATGTTATTTACTTCAAATAAACGAAAAAACATTGATATTACGAAAGGATTATTGTGATAATATTTGATTTTGAATCGCGATTAATGGACAAGGTCCGCCATAACCTAATTCTTGTTGTGTACATGGGCGCCCACTGTGCCGACTTTTGTGTAGCACAAGAAAGGGTGCTTTCACTTAAGAATAATTCTTTAATCATAAAAACGTTTCGGTGATTACTATTTTCTTAGATACTTAATGCAATATTACCTTTTATACTGAAAAACATTGAAAATCTGCGCCAAAGAATACTTTTTTCAACACAAATTACTTAAAACGTTTGACAATTTACGGAGTGAAGTTAGGGGTTATTGCTCTTGGACTTGTTAATTTGTCCCACAGGCGGCGCTGCGGTAACGCGACAAATTTCAAATATAGAGTTGAATCAAACATTAAGAAATTAGAAATTTGAATCAATAGAAGTAAATAAATCTTCAATGGAAATTTAATTTAACTTCTATTTTGCATTCTTTTATAGAACTTAACACTTTTTGGATTGAATAAAGTAGAATAAGAAGATAAAAGTGATTAAAATTGTTTAGTTGCACTGTAAACGCAAAATGAACGGAGCTTAAACTTTGCATTGTGAATTGAGCCAAGGATTCGTTAAAGAGAATTTTCATCGAGCAGTTTCCGCTTCCGTTATCGACCTTCCCGAACTCATTTTCCACCCCGCGTACCCCTCTATAAGAAATTTTTTCGACCGCACCACCATTTTCGATGTATGCGGTGTTGCGTGATTGCCTGCGAGTTCGAGCGTGTGTGTTTGTTGTGTTGTAGAAAAGATTGTTGAAACCTATAAAGAGCGAATTCTCTTACTCGAGTAGCGCGAATCTTCTGCATAATTTCCGTATATTGTGGACTCAGAGATAAATATGTCGTCGTACATTCAGGTCGCTGAGGACGAGGGAGAAGAGCCCATTGAACTGCCCACTGAGGATGATAGTACACTCTTGTTGACGACTCTTGCGGCCCAATTCCCCGGAACTTGTGGCCTCAAATATCGTAATCCTGAATCCAGGACGATGCGCGGCGTCCGCCTCGTTGATGGTCGTCTTCATCCTCCTGAAAATGGTTGGGGCAAGGCGGTCTATTTCTGCGTCTTCCCAAAAGGTGAGCAAAGACAAGTGGGCGATTTTATACCAGATATACAAATACATGCACAAGCGCACACATAAATTCGAATGTTACCCAAGTTTTATGTATTAGTGACGTTCGCAAACTCGAAACTAGGATATGTTTACCTACTTTCGGGGAAAAAATATTTTTTCTTTCCTTTTCGAATAAAAATGCCACGGAATTTACTCGAAAAGGAAAGAATGTGCATTTAGTATATAAATTCATTATTCTATTCGGACAAATTTAGTCAATGTGAGAAACATTAATTGGAGTGGAAAATGTAGGTAAACGGGAAGTGATTTTAGCGTTTTTTATTCTTTTCGAGTGAAAAACTATCATTTTTATTGTGAAATAAATAGAAAAATCGTCCGAGTTTCCAAAAAAAATAAACTACACTTTACTTTTCAGATTTTGTAATTTTTACCGTAAAATAATTATTTTACCATTTTACCAAAACTATAAATTTCTGTAATTAAAAACATTTTCCAAATTTCGAATTTTTAGGTTAGGGAATTTTTCTTAATTTTCATTTTTTAATTCTAAATTAACTACTTATAATTTATTGCAGTTTGCTGTTTATTATTTTCTTGGCACAGTCAAACTGAAATTTCAATTTAAAATCTAGAAAACAATCATTTGTAATATATAAATTTTATTATTTGAATTTTCCCAGAATTTTTCACGAAACAATTGTCAATTCATTAATAAATTTTATTAATATTCGTGCTTTTTTTTAGAAAATAAACGTAAGTCTGACGATAATTTGGAAAATTCGACAGCAAAGACTAAAAGAATGGAAACAAAATTACGATGCACTGACCTAATTGTGCTTGGTTTGCCTTGGAAAACAACTGAGCAAAATTTACGAGAATATTTTGAAACCTTTGGAGAGGTTTTAATGGCACAGGTAATAAATGAGACATTTTTTTTTCCTACAAAGAAAATTTATGAATACTAATTAATTTTCAAAAAAAAAAAAAATTGTTTCGAACAGGTGAAAAAAGATGCAAAATCGGGTCAAAGTAAGGGATTCGGTTTCATCAGATTTGGTAGTTACGAATCTCAATTGAGATGTTTAGCACAACGGCACATGATCGATGGTAGATGGTGTGATGTTAAAGTTCCTAACAGCAAGGTAAGATCTCAAAAAATTATTTTTTATCACGTTTTTCATTTAAAAATAACATTTATCAATGTCCTTTGAAACTTGAACTTCTGGACATTCAAATTGTTTCCGAAATTTGAAGTTTCTTCGCTTTTTTGTTAAATTTCTTTCGTAATTTCTAAATATTGAATTCAAATTTTCAATTTAAAAATAATTTTAAATTAAAAAACTGTAAATTTCTTCAAATATATTGTGATTTGAAAAATGTTTTCAAAATTGTTTCAAACATTTACTTCACATTTCGGACAATTCGTCCAGAAGTTTAAAAGAAAAAACAATAATCTCTGGTGAGGTTCTCGAAATAGTCGCAAAATTCGTGAAATTTGTAATTCATATTCAATAAAAGTGTTAAATAAAATTTACAAATACAGAAAATTGTTTAATACACAGAGAGAGAATATATATTTAAAAAAAGTATTTTACAAATTGGGGAAAAATGCGACAAAGCGAAATTTTGACGTAAAAAATACTAAACTTTAAAAAAACTTATGTGAAATTCAGTAAACTTTGTCTATTAGAATTTAATTAATATTCTTGATATTTGATACAATTATATTAAATTTCGCATAAGTAAGAATTTCACATTTTTTTAAAGTTTAGTATTTTTTATATCAAAATTTCGCTTTATCGCATTTTTCCCAAATTTGAAAAATACTTTTTTTTAAATATTCTCTCTTCGTATAGAGAATATTTAATTTTAAGAATTTTCTATTAGAGAATATTTTATTTTAAGAAAAGTAAATGAAATATCACGAATTTTGGGATTTGTTTTCCAAGAACCTTACAAAAAAGGATTAACAAAAAAAAAGAAAAACAAAAGAAAACATCTTTAAGTGGATAGGCATAAAGTTTGATGTCGATTGAAAGTTTCTTTCTGCTGCGTAAGTAGATGAATGAGACCTGAGCGTTGAGAGACGAGCCTGTTGATGAATGGATGAAATCTTAACGTCCCAATGAATGTTTAGAATGCGTAGAGATCGCACGCGTGAATTTTTTGAGCGAGTACACTTTCGAGTGCATGCGTGTATACAGAAACGTGTGAGATAACGCATGATTTTGTTGAAGAAAAAAAAATCAGTTTTTTTTCGTTAGATTTTCATTTAAAAAAAAAAAAGAGAAAAAAGAATAGAAAAAGTATATACCGAAAATTCGAATGATCATAAAAATAAGTGATACTGCGAGGTTACTGGCATTAAAAAGAAAATGTACGTTATTTTTAATGAGTGGATTGAAAAAAAAATTTACCTATTCAATAGAAAAATAAAAGAAGTTCTTTAAAATAAAAAAAAATGCTGATTGTATGAGTGGTGATTTTTTTTTATTGATTTTTACAGTTTGGTCTGATTCGTAGAAACTATTTTCTAGTTTGGAAAAAAAAAATACAATCAATTTGCTTCTGTTTCTGGATAAACTTTTGTACTGGAAATTGAAAGAAATTGTTTTACGTGTATAATTGTTTCTAGAAGGAATTCAATTTTTTTATATCAATAATTTTCTCTTAATTTCAGGAATCACAGTCCGTTTTTTTTACACAATTTTCTCTTTTTCCCTTTTTTTTATCTCCTTAAATTAAATAAATCCTCGGAAATATCTAAAATCGTAAAGTTTTTCTCCTTTTTCTTAAGAAAAACTTGTTAAAATTTCCTTCTTTTTAAAGTTAGAAAAAATTTTTAAACTATGTTCAATTGAAACTATTTTACTAATTTAAAATACAATTTACTTTGTCATTAACGATTTTCAATGACAAAATTTACCATTTTTTCAATGTTAATTTTTGAATGAAAATTATTCAAATTTTCCTCGAATGTTATACAATTTTCTACTAAAAATTTTTATCTTTAACTTTTTTCCTTAAGAATTATTTTGGAAAAAAAATTGTAAATTGAAAAATTTATTATTTTTTGGGTAAAAAGTAATTTTTCTTCATTACTCGTTGATTATAGTTGATTATAGTTTTTAGAATTTTCTTTGCAAATTTTCATCAATTATTTTACCCTAATTTTTTTTTATTCTTCATAATAAATTGTATTGAATAATTTTGTTCTTAATTTGAAAATTCCCCCTTTTTTAAAACGAAATCTCTTTTTTGAAAATTAAAATCCACCTTTTTATATAAAAAAAACTCTGTGATCCCTGAAATTTTAATTATTAATTAATTAATAATTAATAAAATGGACAAACACAAACGAAACTTATAAAATTAATAAAACTCTTTCTATAAATTTATGATTTATTTAAAAATATTATTATTATAATTATTCAAAATTAAACGAAGTTAAACTAGCCAAACGGTATTTAAATTTTATTAAAAAAGTATTTTTGAAATTTTTATTTTCTAATTATTAAAAAAAATATAAATATATTAAAAAATAAATATATAAATATATTAAAAATAATTATTTAAAAAAAAATTTTTTAATATTTCATTTTAATTTCTTATAAACAATTTTTGATTTTTTTCATTTACATATTTCGTTACATTACAAAATAAAGAAATACAATTTTACTAAACTAAGTATAAGAAATTACAAATTTACAAAAGTAAATAAAACAAATTACAAATTTACAAAAGTGTAAAATATTTCTCTTAAATTTCCGCATTGTTCAAAAATTTTCAAAGAAACAGTTTTGCGCTATCTCAAATATTAATTTCCCTCTAAATATTATAATTTTAACGAGTTCAGTTATATTTTATTAAAAAAAAGTGTACCATGTGTGACTGTAAAATATTTTAATAGATTTCTCGTGATGTACAATGTATGGGAGTTGCACGAACGTTCTTTTTTAGCGAACAATATTCGGAATAAAGAAAAAAAAGAAAAGTAAGCGTTTTGAATTTTCCAAGATCTTCTCTCTCGATCTAATAAAAAATAGTGTGCAGTAAATTTGTGTGCTCGCTTATTACTCGTACTTACTTTTTACGTTACTAGAAACTGTTATATTAAATTCGTCTTTCATGGTACATGTTTATATAAAACTTGAGAAAAAAAGTGTTTCAGTGTTTCGTTTTTTGGTCAATTGTTTTCGCGGATTTGTATGGTGGAATTTTGATTTAAAAAAATAATGAATTTTGAATGGGGAATTTGTGTGTATGCAGAGAAAAGTTTGAGTCTATGAAGTATGATTTAATATCGCGACTATCTTCTCTTTCGTTCTAGATTGGAAAATATATTTTTTGTGTAAATTCTTAATAATATTACGGTGAGTGTTTTATGATTAACAGTGAGATTATTATTGTATTGGCTATTTTTTGAATTATTTTCTATTGAACATGTCTTTAATGATTATCGAATTGTTTTCATATTCATGAATTTGGTATTTTGATATTTCAATCGATTTGTTTACGTTCGAATAAGAATTTTTTTTGGGTAGGAAAAGTAAAGAGAGAAATTAATTAATTTTCAAGTATTGTGACAATTTAATTATTTTCAATGTCTACTATTTCAATAAAAGTTTACAAAAGAATTCAATTATTTAAAAAGAAATTTTAAATAAAATTCGTCTCAAGAATTCAATTATTTTCAAAAGTAATATAATTCTTCGCAGAAATTCAATTATGTTCAAAAATTCTCGTCAAAATTTTAATTATCTTTATAAATAATAAATTCAATTATTTATAGTTAATAAAATTCTTTATGAAAATTCAATTATTTAATAAAATATTTATTTTTGCAGTTAAATAATTGAATTTTCGTAGGATTTTCTAATAAATATTAATTTAAAAATGAATTTCAGTTAAAATTTTAGATTATAATTGAATATTGAAAGCATTATAGCGAGGAATTTTTTTTAAAAATAATTGAATTTTCAAAAGGTTTAAAATTTTTAAAAAATGCGTCTTTTTTCGACTTATTTTTAAAAATTACGACTTTTTCGACTTTTTTTCCAAATATTGCAATATTTTTTAGTATAAAATGCAACTTATTTCGATTTTTATATAGTGTAAAAAATTTCTAAAGACAAATCTTCAAAAATTATTTTTTAATAATTTTTCTAATTAAATTTTCAAAATTTACAATTAAAAAGAGTTTTAATAATTGAAATTTTGTAAAATTTCATTAAAAACAATTGATTTTTTTCAAAGTGTTTTATAAAAATTTTGGAAAATCAACTTTTGAAGAATTTTAATTGCAAATTTTGAAAATAATTGATTTCTCAAAAATTTTAATGAAAAATCTTCAAGTGTAAATTTAAAAATGGTAATTAATGAAAATTAGCTTCTAAAAATTATATTAAAATATTTTTGAATAAAATATTAATTAGAATGTTTGCCTTCTAATTTTTTTAAATTCAATTATTTTCAATATTTTCAAATACAAATTTCTAAAAATTCAAATACGTTCAAAAAATAATAACATAAAAATTTTTTTCAATTATTTTTAACATTTAAACAACATAACAATCATGTTCAAAATTTTTAATCAAAATTATTCAAAAAAAATTTTTTTTTTAAATTATACAGAAATTATTTTAAAAAATTCAATTCTTTTCGAAAAATTACATTACAATATTAAAAAAAAAACTTTTTCTTGTAATTTTTTTATCTTAATTTTTATGATTCAATTAACATCGAACAATGTAAATTAAAATTTTTAAAAATTTACTTTTTTATGTAGATTTTTTAAAATTTTGGAGAAATTACGTTTATATTATTAAAATGCTTCAAAAATTCAATTACTTTTTTTATTGAAATTTACCAAATTTCAATTGTTTGGAAATTGTTCAATTGTATATAATTAAAAAACTATTATCTTTCATAAATTATTTTTAAAATATTTAAAAAGAATTAATTTTTAGAATTTCTCTATTATAATTTTTTTGAAAATTAATTACCAACTTAAAAAACATGGACAGTTACAATTATTATAAAAAACTATTTTTGTATTTACATAATTGAATTCTCTAAGAATTTTTGGAAAATTAAAAATAATTGATTTTGAGAAGAAGTTTGATTAAAAATTGTAGAAAAT